TGTCCCACTATCATGTTCGACCCTCATTCAGCTTTCAGTAATTCCTCTTGGGTACATTGCACTTGATCAAACCCCACCAGGCATTCCACACCCTCCTCACCATCACTCTTAGATTACTTATTATTCCCTTGCCCTTGGGTTTGTTAGCTCCACCTTTCCTTTCCCCATCTCCCTCTCTTCTATGTCCCCCTGGAACCATCAGTCCCATTGTTTTTTTCTTGGGATTATTTATCCTGCCTATCTTATATAGGTAGGGGAAAAAAGCCTAAATTGTTTCTTATAATAGTAGTCTTAATATACCATTACCACTTTGTATTTTTATACTACAGCATAGCTTCCAAATTATATTCATATGTATTATTTCTTTTTTTTCTTCTCTCTCTTTTTTAAAAAAATTGTTTTATTAGGGGCTCATACAACTCTTATCACAATCCATACATAGGTCAATTGTGTAGAGCACATTTGTATATTCATTGTCCTCTCTCTCTTTTTTATTTTAATGCAAGGGAGAGCGCAGATGCATTTTCCCACTGCCATAATTCATGGAGTCGAATTTCCCACATTTGGGGAAGTCGCAGGGGTCAGCACATCCAGAGTGCAATGAATGAGCCTCGCCCTGGGAAAACCACCTTTGTGATCATGATATCTCCCCTGCCAGGTAAGTATCATATGTACTATTTTTATGGATTGCCAAAACTATTCTTCAAGTAAACTTAACAAAGGAATAGGGGAAGGGAGGGAAAACTATAAGGAGGTGATACCAAGGGCTCAAGTAGAAAGAAAATGTTTTGAAAATGATGATGGCAAGAAATATACAAATGTTCTTAACACAATGGATGGATGTATGGATTGTGATAACAGTTGTATGAGCCCCCAATAAAATGATTTAAAAGAAAAAACAAAAACAAAGGAATAAAAAAGTAACTAACCTAAGATTGTAGAGAAATAATTACTGGGCACAAAAAATAGCTAATAATAGCAGCTACATTTATTGAGCACTTAAGCTAAGCATTTTATAATATGTTATCACATGTAATCCTAATTACAATACTGTGGCACAGCAATAGCAGAATAAAAAGCATATGATAAAATAAGCAATATTTTAAATAACTGAAATACTTTAAAATGCTTTAAGAAAAAGCTTTGTGATAGGGTTAGTTACTGAAACTAAATGGCATTATATAGCAACATAAAAGAAATAGCCTAATGTTAGAGATAAATGTTGATGAGGAGAAATAAATGTAATCTCTTTGATATTTCATATCACGACTGGGCATGGCATGTGTCATTCTGTTGTACATGGGGTCACTATGAGTTGGAACTTAGGCAAAGCCACCTAACATTAACAACAACAACATTTAAAAAACATAGATCACCTGTCACAAGGCCTCTCTAATTATTAAATACGATATATTATATTTATGCAAATTATCAGCATTTAACAATTCGAAACACTACTGCTAAATTTTTATAGCATAATAATATTTGCTAAGTCTAACTCTAGCTTCAAATACTGGAAATAAAACTCATTCAGTTTACATATATATATATACACACACACACATATCTTTAGAACAAGTGAAATAACATTTCAAGGAGATTTGGGAGAATGGCAATTTTTAAAGCTATTTTTAAATATTTGTTAAAATGAAGTTTCAGTACACTAAAATAGAAAAAAAATGAAGGCTTTGAAGAGCCTTTGGTGAGTCATGAGGAGGAAAGCAAATCCAGCTGCACTCCAGAAAGGAAAGATTTTTATCTAGAACATCCAGCAAGGCTTAGATCAGAAACAACCATCCAAAGGGTTAACGTCTAGTACCCAATTTTAAAACCTACTAGTGCAGCTATTTTGGGAATAACATTTATTAAATTTTCTTGAAACCACAGCGCAAATGAATATTTTTTGGCTCCAACATGTTCTGTTTGTTTTAAAGACCTACTGAAGTGTAGAAAGGGGGAACCGATCACAAGGATCTACATATAACCTCCTCCCTGGGTGACAGACAACAGAAAAATGGGTGAAGGGAGATCTCGGACAGTGTAAGATATGACAAAATAATAATAATTTATAAATTATCATGGGTTCATGAGGGAGGG